TTGAGAACCTTCACTATTCACCATGGAGTTTTGATTCATCTCGAGTCTTGATTCATATGTGAGGAGCAAAGCATGAACTTTACCTAATGTATGAGGAGGGAATCTGGAGGTAACATTTACTACCACTGAATCATATTCAGAACCAAGGCCTGTTAGGACATGTAGGACTTGGTTTTTCTCAAAAACTCTTTCTCTTGCTATGGCCAAGATATCACAATAGCTTTTGATCTTGCTCAAATATTCTCTCATAGACATGCCAGATTTTTGTAAAGTTTGCAGCTTTAAGTTATATTGCATAATTCTAGCTGAAGATTGACTAGCGAAGTTACTTTCAATGGAATCCCAGATCTCTTATGCTGAGTTTAAACCCACCATCATCACAAGGATCTCTTCACTAAGAGATGACAAGAGCCATGAGGCTAGGAGTTGATCCTGTCTAACCCAAAGAGAATATTTTGGGTTCATAGCAAGCTCACCTAAATATGGATTTGTGATAAGCTTATCTGGTTTCTTGGATTCTCCATTGATGTAGCCTTCTACACCATATCCTTTGATGGTAGTGATAGCTTATTGCTTCCATATCAGGTAGTTTGTTTCATCAAGTTTTGTTAAAATCAGCTGACTGTTGGGTTGAATAAGTGCATCTGAAGCCGTTGTGTTCATGTTGGAGGATGAAACTCCACTTGATGATTGATCTGTTTGGCTCATTTATGAAATAGTAAAAATGAAAATGGATAAACAATGAAGGTGTCAGAGACAGGATGGTCCTGCTCTGATACCATGAAAGATTTTCATGGAAAACATGATGGAAATAGAGATCTGCAAAACTTGTTCTTTCATTTCATGCAAGTACAAGACGGCTGGGATAAAATTCTGAACCCTACACATCAACTACTTTCTCCTCTAATATTTATATATAAATGAAAGGCTGATATAACTCTTAGTTAGAACTGATCAAAGGCTGTAAATGGTGACATCTCAAAAGCAATAAAGCAGCTCAAGTTTTGTCTTCTTGCAGAACATAACTCTTTGACTTTGTCTTTGTGCATGGCTCAGTTTTAATATCATGCAGAGGTGGCATTGTTGTAGCTTTATGCTCCAATGCTGAAATACATGAGTTGCTAACAAGACGCCCAAACGCCAAACGGGACTATTTTATGGCATAAATGATAGTTTGTTGTCCACATAAAACCATGCAAAAAAGTTCTCCACACCATCTCCAAATAACACAACATCCTTTTTACACCAAAAATCGATTTCACAGCTTTGCAGACATATATATTCCAGAGAAGCAAACATCCTTAACCTGGAACTAAAGCTCCTCCATTATGGGGGAAAAAAAAAAAACAAACCATACCAAATGTCTAAGTCAACAAAAAACCAAAAGAAAGTGAAAAAGGCCAAGTCCAAAACACTCCCTCTATAAAACTACAGATGTCATGTGCATGTAAATTTTCACTCTCTTAAGGTAAAACCTTCTATAGCTTCGTTATTTCTAAAAATATCGGGCAAGTCAAGCTGGGACAGTTGTGGTCCCAAGATTCCATCCAACTGATAGTTATAATTATTGTTACAAACACGTTGAGATTCCATCCAACTGAAATTGCACAAGGTCCAAATCAATTTCATCAACTTCCTACCATAAAGGAAGAGACAATGATATTTTAAATATTAATATTCCTGACTGTTAGATTTATTACAAAAATCAATTGATAAGATTTCGTCTCACATACACATTTTATCACATACACATTTTAAGAGTTGGACTCATTTGATCCCCCTCTCTCTTTATATATATTAATATCTCCAAATCATTTAAGACTTAAAGTATGAGAGAACTAGCTAGTAAAACTAAACTCAAAAACTATATCCTCACGAAATAGAGTCGGAATTGATCCCCAATCCGTAATTGAGATTCAATCCTTATTCGTAAGTCGCGTAGATGACACTTGAGATAACTGTCATCTGAATGTAGTCTTTGAATGAAGTAATTGGTCCTCCCATAGTGTACTTGAGCCCTTGATTTTAGGCACTACATATATCTTTCATCTGAGCCCAATTCAATCGGTGAAAGGCTAAGCATACATATATGTTTGGATGAAACAATATTGAATCATATGGTTCTTTAAGTTTTTTAATTTAATAAAACAACGATTTTAATGAATATTTATCGGCAATTTCATACTCTTATATGATGATTGATGAGATGACAGTTTTAGAGTCGATGTTCACATGAATTTCCTACAACTATTATATATTAGTTTCAACACCAAAAAGGAAAATAATTAAGGAGCTATAATGACGAGTCGTATTTCTCATAAAAGGAAATATAATGACGAGTTTCCATTCTTGGAAGGCCCCTGTGAAGAGGTCTCTCTAGGGCTCGCGTCACGAGGTGTTGGAGTAGAGACTCCAACTGTTGTACCATACGCTTCAGATGATGCACCGTTAAAGTCACAGCCTCGTCCAAGATTTGTTCCCCATGAATTCTTAAGTAAGCAGACTGAGCAGGTCCTTAGCATCGTACCCAAGGTTTATTTGGTTTGTCTTGGTCAATGAACTTGTCAAAAACACCTATTCAAATTCATATATACCAACAGATGTAATGAACAACAACACTTCAAACAAAAAAGAGATTGATTGACAAAAATAATTAAAACTTACAACATAATGTGATCTTCAGACAAAAAAGAGATTAATTAACAAAAATAATTAAAACTTACAACGAGAGACATCATGTGATGTTCGACTCCTCATAAACCTACATTTAAGCGAGATAATATATCAATAATCTATCTCATTACTCGGAAATTATTAAAAACTCATACTTAATCAAAATTAAGGATTAAGGGTTTTTTATCGGATTTTTCGTGGACTTGGAACTCTCGGAAATTTTTAAAATACGAGAATCGACAAAGAAAAATAAGTCACGAGACTTAAAATTATTTTCTCAGGATTTTTTCCATTTTATAATAATTATAAAAATGGGTTCGACAAGTAAAACAAGCTCCCGAAACACAAAAATAGGCAGAAAAGCCGAACTGGGCGGCCTGTCCAAACACTGGCCGAAGGCTGCCACGATATGGGCCTAATGCGCAAACTTGACAATTGGGAAGAGGAAAACACGCCCAAAATGGGCCCGAAAAATGAGGCCTCGACCAGGTGGAACCCACGGGCCTACACACGGGCTTCTGCGGGCTGGAGCTGCCGACTCCTAACGGGCCCCTCGCGGGCTGAAGCGGGCCAGGACGGCCCGCGCGTTTCCTTTACCTTTCGCAGATGGGCCGCGCGACCTTGGGTCGTGCCACAATCTCCTGGGCTGTACAACGGACTCTGGGCTGCGATGAGGACGGGCTCGCCGGACGAACGCCTGAAACAATGGTGGTCGCCGGGAATTTTGTTGCTGCTTGGAGAGGGAGGCCTCGCCGGAGATGAATATTTTTATTTTATTTTTAAAGCAGTGAGGGCTGCTGCTAAGGAAGACGATCGAATTTCCTTTCTTCTCTTGCGCGAATCGGATGTGTAGAAGACTCTGGCCGAGTCTTAAGAAGACGATCAAATGTACGTGCGAGGGAATATCTCGGGGAGGGATAGAAGGAAGAAAGTTTAAAGTTCTGAACGTGCAGGTAAAGAAAACAAATGGGCCAAGAATAATCTTACGAAATTGGGCCAAATTAAATTAAGGAAATGGGCCGACATTTAAACTGAAATGGGCCACCAACTTAATACAATTGGACTGGCTTCCGAAAATTATAAAATAAAGGGGCCAAAATTGTTATCCGAATGGACCTGAAATCAATTCTCACAGGCCAAAAATAATTAGTACAAAGGGTCAGGAATTTCCAATAAATTGGGCCGAGTATCAAACTCGAAGCTCGCTCGGAAAAAAGCTCGAAAATACGACGCGATTGCACCAAAGATGGGTCGAAACGGCTCGAACGTAATTCTACGCGATTGAACCAAAATATAACCGAACGAACTAACTAATAAATAAAATTAATTCTACCAAGTCATACACATAACATATAAATATAAAAGCAAGCACATAAGGACATAAGATAATGCAATTATATCAACGAGGCAATCACATAAAAATAAAAACAAACACATAATAATAATCTAAGGCAAACAACAATAAATAGAAATAAAGTAAACAATAATAAAATGCAAGCAATAATATAAGAGCAAGTTTATATATACAATATAATTTGACCAAGTTTATAATATTATGGTTCATCCACATCACGCATTAGAGAGGATTTTAAGGTTATGTAGTTATAAACCTAAAATTATACATCTTATGTGATTTTCTAAACATTAATTGGTCGATAAGTTATTCAATCCAAATTTTTTGAGCATTAACTGTAACCTAAGACCCAAACAATTGCTCATTATATATAATATGAAAATGTTAATTAAAATTAATTTATTTCTTAAGTGAAAAATAAAATATAAATTTTCAAAATAAAGATATAATGTTATTAAATTATTTTTTAATAATATTGAAATTTAAATGAGATTGTGTACTATATATTTGTAATAGTTCATGAAAAATAAAATAGTATTTGAATGAAAAAGAAAAACTAAAATTTAACCAAAATATATATATTTATAACTCATAAGTTAACTACAATTACTTAGATCAAGTGAAAAATACATGGAAAATGGACAATAATATGAATAATATTTAAAAACTTTGCTAACATATATTAATTGAATTATAACTGTTTTATTTAGCCAATAAAAAAAATAAAAAGAATAGTCTTCTTCAACAAGATTTGTAAACTAGCTATCACATGTAATTATTCTTGTAAAAAAATCACTTTAGTTTTATTGTTCATATTTTTCAATCGTCCCCAAATAAAAAATGATCTTGAATAAACAAGACTAACTTAGAAAATGAATTTTTATCAACTAAAATTTTCATGCAATCTTTTTCAACATGACTTTTAAATATTATTATTCTCAAAATTGTATTTTAACTTTCAATATATTTGACACCGTTATATACATGAATGTACTTTTTATTTGTTTGACTAATTGAAAATAATAAGGTAAAAAATTGAAGACCATGAAATATAACTTAAAGTCATATTAAAATAGACACGACCAAGGGTCGAACCAATCCGGAATCCCTTAAGGGTCAATTCAGGGTCAATGAAAAATAGAATTACACAACACAAACCAAAATAGTGTTCACACGGTTGTCACCACATCCTGAGGACCTCAAGTGATTCACTATAGAAAAGTGAAATGAAAGCAGCTAAGTTTTCTGTGGTGGTCTTATTTTGGGAAATGAAGCTACTTTGTTAGACGATAATGGGGTCCACCAAGAGACCGTAAACTTCTGGTGCCATCGCGTGACATTTCGCGAACCCATCTCTGCTATTCCTGTAAAAGACATCGGCTGCTCGAACGTAACCAAGAAGCACTTCCGCAACTTCCTTTGGCACCTCTCTTCTAACTTTAGTTATCCATTCCGTGTTAAAACTTATCCACGAATCTTCAGCTAGCTCCACAAACTTATCCTTAGCCTCTTGCACCGATCCACCGTGATGTTTCACATAGAAATCGAACCCTGTTAGGAGCATCCCGTTTTGGCTCTCGCGCTTCATTCATCAATGGTGATTAATTAATTAATTAGTCAAAAATGTTATATATATATATATATATATATATATATATATATGTTATGTTAGATAAATAATGTATGTGCTCACTTGATAGCTGCCCAAGTCGTCCAAGTACCGGCACACCAAAGCCGAAGCCCGAATGATATTGGGCTTGCTGATAAGCCAATCTATGGTTTCTTGGCTAGCAGATTTCAAGCCCAAGAAGGCGGCTGGGTATGTTGCATAAATGACACCCCCAAACACCGAATTTAAAATGTAGTCCTCGAATGTTGCCATTGGGCCTCCCATGGTATACTTGAGCCCTCGGCTGTAGGCCCAACATAATTCTTTCACCTTCACCAAAAAAAAAAAAAAAANCAAAAAAAAAAAAAAAATGCCGAAACGTTTACGAAACAAGGTACGTACAAATAATTACATGTAATTAATATATATGCATGCGAAAAGTAAGCCCAATGTATGTATGTAATGTATATAGAGGGAATGTTCTCACAGCCTCTTTGGCATAAGGAACTGCAAACATTGTTCCTTGTGCTGCTGCTTCTTCTTCGTAGTCGTCATAAAACTTGAGAGCACACTCGTACATGAGTTTCAACTCATTTGAAAGCCCGTCCACCTCATCCATATTCCACCTGAGAAAACTTATTAGAGTTAGCATGATATATACTATGTAATTAATCATCGTGCAATGAGCTGCATGGTAGTTAAAACGCTATTACTTACAACTTTTGTGCATAATAGTTAAAAAAAGAAAAGAAAAGAAAAGAAGAATTATATGCGCATACCTTTCCACAGCCTCAGCAAACAAATCAGCTTCTTCAATCGTTGCATAAGTGTCATATGTATCATCAAGAAGTGTAAGTATTTGAAAGATTTTTGTGACAGCCACGCGTAGAATCTTATACTGGGGTTCAAAGTGGAATGAGGTCGCCCAAAGATAAGACGCAACAATTCTATTTCTCCCGTATGGCAGGTTTGGGTTCAGCTTGTTCCACCACCTTTAAAACAAATATATATCGTAAAATTGAATTGTGCTAAAAAAAAAAAATATAATGTTCTTGGAGAAAAAATAACTAATTAACCACGGTCCGAATATACTAATTCATTTATTATTATTATTATTATTATGGTATATACGCATAATAACATTTGGTTACCTAGTGATTTCCTGCAGCTCGTTCTTGTACATATTCTGCAAATAATTAAAATCCAACTTGGCTAGTTTGAGAAGTTGTTCGTTCCTCGAGTCGTCTTTTTCGTACGAGACAATATAGTAACGAGTTTCTATTCGTGGAAGGCCCCTGTGGAGAGGTCTCTCTAGAGCTCGCTTTACGAGGTCTTGAAGTGGAGACTCCAACTGTTGTACCATACGCTTCAGATGATGTATCGTGAAAGTCAAAGCCTCGTCCAAGATTTGTTCCCCATGGATTCTCAAGTGGGCTGCTTCATACAGGCTAAGCAGGCCCTTAGCATCATCAGTCAAGGTTTCTTTGAATCTTTTGTCTTGGTCAATGAACTTGTCAAAAACATCTATTTCAATAAATATAGTGTTAATACAACTATAGATAAATATATAAAATATTTCATGAAAAAATAATTGCCATAAATGTACCCTAATGGTTGTCCCTTAAATTTTGTTCTTTACAACCATATTAAACAAATGAAGAGAGAATAACTTACTACAAGAGACATAATGGCGATGTTGCCTCAATAGACGAAACCAAAGTGCAGTAGTAAACAAATCATAGCCTTCGCGTTCCTTCTCAAACTCGGTCAAGGTATGTTCAAGTTGATCCTCAATCTCTTGATCAAAGTGATATCCAACCCCCAAACGCTCAAGCGTGTCGATTAGTACTAACCTCTCACTGATTGATTTCCCTTTAGCCATTGTTAACATCATCTTTGCTTCTTCTTTGAGTACCGAAATAGCTTCCGCATACTTCTCTTGAACCTGTGTGTACGTGTGAGTGCGAGTTAGACAATATATTTATAATTTTTTTCAGAACTCCATTCAAGGAGTTATTTGAACGTAACAAATTTTATATTTTAAAAAATTCAAATTCAAGGAATTTTAAATCTCTCAATACAACCAAACGTGGTCTAAGATACTCACTACTTTTGCATAGGGAGTTGGCAGAAATCTGTATTAAAAGTTAAGACCGACGAATTTGTGTTGGTGTGTAAGACGAGACTTCAAAACTAGATTTCTATAATCTAGATGTCCAATCTTTTACCATAAATACACAATTTAAAAATTTATAAGTATTACTACCTCCTATTTTTTTAAATGTCATCTTGGATTTATCAACAATTAATCAAATAAATGACATTTTGGATCTTTTGTACATATTTTTCTATTATTACCCTCATCTATCTAATAAATATACTAAGTCTTTTCATATTCATTTTTCACCTTTTTTCAAAACATCCATCTCTATCCTCATTAATGATGGTTATTATTGGCAAAAAAAGATTTTTAATTAATGTGCAATTTCTCAAAAGGACACTTATTAAAAATATGAGAGACTGAGGATGCTTGGATACAAAATTTATCTAAAAAATCCAAACACTTTTAACTCAACCACTTTTTTAACTCAACTTTTAACTCAACCCAACTAATATTAATATTATTAATATAATTAAATAATATCAACCAATCATTCTTACACATAACATCAACCTTAATTCACTATTCATCTTCCCACATAATTTTAACTAACCATCACTTCAAATCATTTCTCTCATACTTTTACATTAAATCAATTTTAATTATTTTATTTTAAATATTATTTTAATATACCACTAACAACTAACCATACCACCTTTTTTCAAAATTAACCAAACCAAACCAAAAAAATCCAAACAAATCCAAATTTTTTTATATCCAAGCATCCTCTAATATTTATAGAAATGCTCATCGAACTCTGCATTTTTATCATCACAACCACTGGAGAATTCTCTTTATATATATAAAAATAAAAAATAAAGTAACATAGTATAACTTGGAGTTGGAGTGCGAGCAAGAAAAAAATAAATCGGACAGTCATAAGACTGAAAAGGCACAAGGAAAAACAATTAAGCAATAGCTCACTATGGTTGCCACTGTGCAACAACTAGCAATTAGAGGATATTGGAATGGGAAGAACAAATAAGAAATACGAAATCCACGGATAGAAAAGCAGTTGTGAATCCTCGAACACAACACAAATCACAAAAAAATGGTCCAAGTACTATGTATGCTTCTCGACTCGGACGCGTCAGGTGAGTCAACTCAACTAGTACCGAGTCCGAGTGTATGCAAATCTCAAAATTTTCAATTTTCACCCTAACCAGGATGACTTGATACACGTTTTTGTACTACTATTCCATTTTCTAAAACACTCAACATATGTAAGTACATGCAATTGTGAAGTGTTTTCATGGGTATGTGTATATGTACCTGATGGTCCAATGTAAACGAGACGAAAATTTGGTCCCACTTGCTTTCGGTAGAAAATACAAGTGGCGGACGGCCATTGGGCCAGCTTGGCGGGGCATCCAAAGCGGCGGTGGCATTAGCAGCAGCCATTTTTATAGTGGAGGAACAAAAAGGATGTAATTGCTTGTGTATTGTGCTACTTGAATAATAGCGATGCTGAAGATGGGTATTTATAAGTGCCAAGCTAAAGTTCCTCGTCACTTAAAAAATTGAAAAAGCATCATGGTCTTCTATTGTCATTTTATGTAAATAGCATCCATATCATCAGCTTTTGAAAATGTGTTACTAGTTTATTCTCCAATACACATCTTGTTATAAACTCATAGTTTCATGATGAGGTGGATGACATTTAATGTTAACAATATTGAACCCACTTTTTAATATCTGACATAATACTAAATATGATGACTCGTCATATATGTTTCTTTATATTTGATTTAATTTTTTATTGTTCTTGTATCAATGAATTATTTTAATTTGTATACCTATATAAATAACTTCTTATTAAATTTATGCATTGGATATACTAGTTTGGTTCAAATTTTTAGTCTTTTAGCATTATTCTTATGTGGATTAATATTATAATCATGAATTGTTTCGTTAAAAATAGTTATTTTTTAAAACCATAACATTGGAGATGCTCTTAGGAAAAACAATTGACTGGAACGGATTCATGAGATACGTAGGGATATGTAGAGTTTATATGTACATTAGTTGAATTTACTTTAATTATATTAATGTATCATGTTTATTTTCTTTTCAAAATTTAATGTCATGATTTTAATTTATTTTCTCAAAGATCAGTTATTAAATTTTATATTATTAAAAATTAAATTTAGTTATGTTGTATTTTAATTGATTATTAATTTTATGTTTCAAAGAACCATTGTTCAATTTATGTTTCATTAACAAATAATTATTTATTTTCAGTTACTTTTTTATTGCAGATCTTATATTTTTTAAATATAAATTATTAAATTTTTATTTTATTTAAAATAGATTTTTGGAAATAAATATATTTTTCTTACATAATTGTTAAAAACAAATTTACTGATTTTTATTAGAAATATATGAGATTTATGCAACACATGGTAAAGAAGAATCAAATAAATTTAAAATAAAAAATGATATGTAGGAGATTTAAATTTCTATAATAGTGACATTTTCTAAAAGATATGTATATGGAAAAGTAAAAAAAAAATGGCTACAGAAATATTTTTTTTAGTAATATAATCTATATATATAGAAAGAGGTTGATGGAATAATCTAAAATAGTAACTTTGATTTTGTAATTAAATATATTGACTTACTACTAAAGGAAATATAGGAATAATTAATTAATATTTATAAAAAAAATAAAAATCAATTTATACATACATGTTGTAAGTCATGCAATTCGGTTAATAGCACGTGTTTCTATAAAAATAAGTGGTACCAATTTTAAAAATTATTTTATAATAATTATTGCAATAAAAATCGATTCTTCATATTAATTACGAATCACTGCAATTTCTTATTCTATTAGTAATCAACCATACAACATATTTTAAAGAAATATCTATTAAATATATTTTGTTTTAAAAAATATTATTTGGATATGCATGATAAAATTACAAATATAGTTTCAAATAAAAATTAATTAAAAATTTATTATGGAAGTTTTATAATGATATATATCACATGGTTACAATAACATAATATACATTATTATATATTTTAAGAATAAAAATAAAATAATATTGACATAATTAAAACATAACAATTTTTTAACTACAAAACAATATATATTACGTTCTTTTTTAATTAAGTGTTGTTTATAATTTATTTAGAAATTGAAATAATATTTTGTAATAATATTGTATGAGTAAAGGAACAAAGAGAGGGGAATATACTTGGCTATTATTTATTGATAATATTTGAATATGTTCATTTACAATATTCTTAATTATAAACAGAAACTCTAAATGTCAATTATTTTATAATGAGTAAAATAAATATATAACTCATATATTAAATTACTATATATCATAAAATAAAAGAAAAAAATAGTATCAATAGTCAAAAATATTTTTATACTAATCAATATCTTTTCGTTATTTTAATACATGCAATTTATAATTATTGTCTCGTGCATCGCACGGGCTACATACTAGTTTTGTTGGAAAATTACATACTATTTTTAATAAGTGGGTCGCGCTCCAGCGAGAATGGTGCTCAGTGAAATAAATAAGAATGAATTGTAGTCATTAAATCAAATGATCTAATGACTAAAAAAAGCCAAAATTATACCTTCATTAAGGGTAATGTGGTAATTTTCCACATCACCCATGCCACCATATCTACACACATGCCATGTCATCACTGTTACACACATAACACGCGCACCCCACACACAAAACACACGCACCCTCACACACAACACACACACAAACACTCACAACACACACACACACACACACACACACATTAGGACACACACATATACACACACAAAAACACAACAACACGCTGGTCGCCGGACCTCCACCAGCTCCGACTCACATTGCCGCCCGACCTCCACCCCGACTCCGCCACACATCACCGCCGACTGCAACTCTTCCTAACCAGATTCCATCTTCTACGACTACCGCGTCTGTGCACGTGTTACGTCCTAGCGCACACCCGCCGGAGAAGACAAGTTGTCCCGCTGGAGAAGACAACCCCGTCCCGTCAGCCAACCTCCGTCGACACGTCACCCTGGATCCAGTCCTCTTGCCGAAAATCAGAGTGGAGGAGATGAGGTTGTGGAGGACGAGCTAGACATGGCAAACTGAAGCCATGATTGTGCGGCCAGAGAAGATGGCGGTGGAGACTGGTGGAAAAAGCTCGTTGGTGGACTATAATAACTGGAGTCAGGGTGGCTAGAGTCAGCCGGAAAATTTGTGGGTTATGTCTTTGAAAATTAGATAATTTTTAGGGGCTCATTAGCAATTTTAAAAATTTTGGTCATATTACAATTTAGCCCCTGAGCCAAATCTGTAATTTAAAGAATTATAAAAAAAATATTTTGAATATATTTTTTTATTCATAAATATTAAAATAATAAATATATTTATATAATATAGATAATAATTACTTCACGAACACATATAAAATAATATTAAAATATAAAATAATAAATATTGTTCTCTCGCCGGAGAGCGTACTATATTCTCTCGCCAGAGAGCGTGCCGCAGGTGGTCCTCTGTTAGCCTAATTTTCACAATCTCCATCCCCGTACCTTGTTCTAGCATCTCTGTTTATCCTCCCCGTTATTTCTATCATTGTTCTTATTATTCTATCGCTGGCCAAATCCATCTAGGGTTCTCAAATGGGAACTCCCAGTTGCATCGGGCATGACGAAGAAATATCCCAACGGCTCCAAGGGTTCTCCTTATCTGAAAAAGAATACTCCTTCATCGACATTAAACATGATGACATCAAACTCAGTGATGAAGAGTGCCAACAGAGTCTAAGTAGTAAAGTAGTGGGTGACAGGAAAGCTACCTGGATTGGTATCAAACGAGCAATGAGCTACATCTGGAAATTGAAGGAACCTATGGAAGTCAAAGAACTGGGACACAATTATTTCCAATTCATCTTTCAAAGCCGTGAAGACTTGGACAGGGTAGCCAAAGGAACCAATTGGACCTTTGAAAACTAGTACTTGATTCTTTCATAATGGCAAGAAGGGCTCTCACTTAACCACACCATATTTCAAGAGCTTAAGCTATGGGTCCAGGTATATAACGTTCCTCTCAACTAGCTCAATACAGAAGTAGGGATGAAAATAGGCAAAGTCTTTAAACAGGTGAACAATGTGGTGATAGTTGGAGCAGACAGCCATGGAGGGAGAATAATGAGGCTCTTAGTCACTTTATACTTATCTAAAGCCATACCTCGCTGTGCTCACCTGAGATTAGATGATCAAGCAATTAGTGTTAACTTTAAATATGAGAAGCTTGTCAATCACTGTCATTATTGTGGGCTCATTGGACATCTTGACAGAGGATGCACTAAGATATTGGAAGATATCAGGTCTAACACAGGGAAAGAGGGGCAATACAGTGATTGGATGCGTGCCAATGAGAGTTAACACTTGGCTACAACAACTATCTCTAGCTCTCAAAGCCCACCTCGAGCAAATACACCTACTTCACCTATCCCAACAACTCCACACACTCATCAAACAGTCCAAGGGAAGACAGCAACAAGATTATACCAATTCAAAGATCCTCATCTCACTCACACCGGCATACTACAGAGGCATCCACATCTCAATCTGCACACATAGCTACTACTCAACCTACCACCCAAATACATTGTGAGACTATACCTCCTCCACTGCTGATAGAAGGACAAACCAAATAACATCAACTACAGATTCATGCAAAGGATATGAAAGTGTAAACAATTGAGCCCATAATGTCTCAGAGCAGCACTCTCATCAAATCCAAAACCTGAAAAAGAACAACAGCAAAAGTGGGCAGATTACAGAGGCAAGAAGAGAATTCCTCTCCTCAAGTTAAAAGCACTGTTGGAAAGATGATCAGAAGCATTCCTGAAGTACCAGTTGTATTAAGTTCTAAGGCAGCTCAAGAAAAGGAAGTCAGTAAGAAACAAAAAACATAAGTTACTCAGGTGGGGGTGGCCAGCCTCGAATGGCACCCGAGTGATCAATGTTAGATGTGGTGTGGAACTGTAGAGGCTGGGTGGGCCCTCTACAGTTTTCAAAATCAGAGAGTCATGTAAGACTCAATGCCCAACTTTTCTCTTCTTATCTGAAACTAAGAAATCTTCTGCTTTTGTCAAATCAGTAGTTAGGAAATTAGGTTTTGATAACAAATGTGCTATTGTTGATCCTCTGGGCTTAAGTGGTGGATTAGTACTTTGCTGGACAAATGAAGTTCAGATTACTCAAATGGTCTGTCATGATTTCTACATAGCAGTTGAATACAACTTATCTTCTTCAAGTCCAACTTGGGGTGTGTTTTATATCTAAGTACTTGCAGTCTCACTAGGCACAATCAATGGGAAGCTTTAACTTTGGCTAAACTAAACTAGGGAGAGTAGTGGTACATATTAGGAGACTGGAATGACATCTGCTCTACTGAGGACAAGAAGGGTGGGCTTCTTAGATCTGCCTATAGTTTGGAAGGGTTCAATCAATTCTTTAACTCTATAGGAATGGAAGAAGTCAAGATGATAGGATACAAGTTCACCTGGTGTAACAACAGATTCTCAGAAGGACTAGTGGAAGAAATGATAGATAGA